CATCGGATCATACGCCCTTCGGACGAGGTCAAACGTCCAAGTTGCCCAATACACCTCGATGCCCAATAGAACCGGTGACCGTGTCACGACCAGAAAGGTGAGTGGTACGTGAGCCTCTTCTTGGTTGGTTTGGAATCAGGGTTTTTAGCCATCTCCCCTAGGTGGACTGCCAGTGGTTCACCGACCCGGTTATAGCCCCAGATTTCGGCTTTTCGTCCTCTCACTTTGGTGTGAAAAACCTCCGCCACGGGAAGGCAGTGAGTAGGGCTTCCTCAGCAGAGGCTACTTGAGACGCTTGGTCATATAGGAGCACATTTCATGAGGTGCAAGGGAGGGTGACCAGCCGCAACCCAAGACACCCACCCCCGACCATACTGAGGCTTTCAAACCTATGACAAGTGCAACTGGGGCAGACATTTAATGTAATTCAGGTCAATCGATCTGATACCTGTTACATCATATACTATTTGCAATTGTACAACTGAAATCACAACCAAGTAGAGTATTTGAGAACTGAAATATAATTTTGCATGAAGATGCAAGCATATCGAGGTGTTATCCATTCAGGTCCGCGAGGTATTCCATTTTGACAACGTAAATGATAGCGTTGCACATTAACGAATTGAGATAGAGCGTATTGTGGATGTTATAATGTTAATAACACAGCGATGTCGGTAGAGAATTGTATTCACTGATGTTTCGGTTTCCGTGGGTAACCTTTCTCCAAGCAGGTTTTACAATCAAATGACTTAGAGGAAACGATTACAATTCAACGGATTTTTCGTCGTATGCGTGTGAACTCGTGTAGTGGGCTGAATGAATCGTTGTCTGTCATAATAACTCCCATTATTAGATGGGGTCAAGTGGCACCGAAACCCTTGTCGTGATTACTCGTTAGTGATGTTAGGGTAGTCCAAATGCTCGGTATCTCGATTCCGTCGTTTCTGTTGACACATACAGAGTGGGTGTTCATGTGTCAATAACATTATATCTTTCACAATAAAAAAGCATGGTGCATCGATTTTTCGATACTCCTAAAATCATTTGGTCCTGATGTATATAAAATAGAGCCAAAGTAGCCAATTCGCAAAAATTACAAACCGAGTGTAACTTCAGTTCTCATGTTTTATGAGTAAAAGCACCCCAGAAAACTGCGTTCTACAATGACCACAAACCGATCTATGCAACCTTCATGGCTGGTTTAGTACTTTAGCCCTGTTTTAAAGAGCGACCCCGAATCTGCTGGTTTCTGTGTTGTAATTATTAACCTTGCCCTTGATATACTTGTGTTATTTTCACTGGTTCAAATCACTGCATTGACTTCAGTACAGACACTTACAGATGCAGTGAAATGACCTAGGATACAGAGTGCTGAATGTGACGAAAAAGATTGTTTTCAACTTGAAATGATATTTGTTCTCAAAACCACATTTAGCCGAGACTGTTATCAGAAAGCCTAAAATGAACGCGTATGACCTGTACAAAGCTATCGACTGCTGAACCAGCGCCTTATGCACCGCAGAACACAGCCAACATATTCACTTGGCTGTCTAGCAGTTTAACTCGTCCACAGCTTTTAACTTACCACAAATTGCCATTACAATCTAAGCTAGTTGAGCAGTGATGCAACATGTATGGGCCAATGGGATCGGTGGCTCAAGGCAATAGGGCAAACCTATGAATCTATAGGGTATTTGCGGCGCCATTTTGGACGATAATTGCAGTTGAAGCGAATCGTTTGGACTTACGTCAATCATTGATTGATTTTGACGCTTGACAAGAAATTCAACTTTGAACTGGGTAGGGTATTCGGGTTTAAATTACTCGAACATTCGATAGGGTGAAATGTAACTATTGCATCCTAACTGGCTCCAGTCACCCTTTCAGTCACTGCGTAACATCGTGCTTGAAACAATTATGCTTCTTGATGACAGGATCTTAAAGGGAACTGCTTTGGTGCAATTGCACTAATTAGCACAGCCTCCAAAGATTGAGTGCATATGAGCTGAACAGCATGCATTTCAATGAGGCTTCATTGTTCAGGATCCCGATTCGCCGCCCGGAATCACATATTCCACTTCCTAACTGCAGCTTCGGACCAAACATTGCTTGAATTCCACTTACTTTCCGACGATTTTTTTCTACAATTGCCTCTTTGATACTTATCCGGTCAATATATGCAGTCGAGTCAAAGATAAATGTCAGCGTATTGGATGTGGAAATCATCAGCTCTCTCGGTCCAATTAATGTTTTTTGTCAGTTTTGCCACTTCTGTTGAATGAAACACCCTTCGATCTGTTCTGAGCTGAGGTCAATCCCTCAGATCTTCAGTAATTTTCTGCATGCGGTATACTTCCTAGTTTGTGACAGAAAATACTGATCCGATGGGTCAACCCTCTAGCGCGTTGAGAAATTATTGATTGGTTGTATTTAGACAATTTTTTTGCATAGCCATAGTGAGATCGACGAACGAGAATTTCCCTGTTCATTGTTTCACTCCGCCCCATCAAAACGCGTAGCCATTGGGTTTGCGGCTATCAACTTCTCAATGCGTTCGACAGGCACAAGGTTTGCCCGCACCGCACCGACGAGTGCCAAAAACGCAAGGTGCAACGGCAGAGCCGAGCATAAGAGAGTCAGAGTTGTTGCTAGAAGACCCGGATATGGCAACCACAACTGTACAGCACATTCGTGATGGATCTGATCCAGCCTTTGGTAAAGCGTTGTACGAACGCTTGGTCAAATTGGAAAGGGAACAGTACGAAACGGTGGTAACCTTGCAAACAATAACCGGGAAGGACCCCACGCGTAAGAAGCTGGACTCAGGCACTCCAAGTTCAACGGAACAAATTAAAACAGACGACACGGATGAAATGAGGGACGTGGAAAATGTAACAAATATCCTGTCCGTCAGCGAGTAAGCTTCACATGCGTGTATGAAGAACAACTGATTTTGTTTCTCACATTTTATAATCCAGTGATCTGTGCAGGATAGGGACAGTTGAACCAAAGTTTAACAGTGTAGTGTGAATAAGTATTAGCAAACCTTTGAAAGTCGTTCACCGTTTTGAGCGGTCAAGATATCAACAGAAGCACGTAGTGCGTTCGATATTTCTTGACTGAAATTGATCATTTAGAACATGCCTCGGAACATGAGAGGCTTTCATCGACGCACGTTATACGAGGAAATAATTCTAACCTCTTTCACACTTTTTTCCAGTTCTTCGACGCCCGCGTGACTATACAGATCTCAAAGTCGTCCGGACAGATTTATCACCGCAATACTACAAATCATTTTCGACCTTACTACGCTAACTATATATTTATCTGCTGTCCGTTGTTTGGTCCCTTTGCCATCATGCTGACCGAAGAAATGCTTCACCCCAACTGTGTACGGTGAAGGTATAAACAAATAATAAAGCATCGACATCACATTGGTATTATCCGTGGAATGCAATATTTGTGGCACGATTGGACCACCGGAATCCAAGAAGTGATAGGTGCTCTCTCATGCCAGGAAAAGAAACATTCAGGTGCCTAGTGTCAAGAGGCCCAAGACATCGTTATAAGCGAGGAATATTACTGTGGTTTAATTAGTAGCTTTATTGCTTCCGTGCGATGGAACTATATGTGCACGTCATCACTGTGCTCAAACCTGACGCAGTTCATTATCGGAGCGTGTCAGAAAGTCGTCGCAATCATGAGATAGGACAACAGAATGCGTTGCGTTCGAGAGCTTTGTCAGATAGCGCTGAGGAATCGGTAATTTAGCTCACGCGTTTCAGTTGGACAAAGTGAGTCCAGGGTTAAAGGCTTGATCGGTAGATGGCTCTTCACTATTGGATCAAGACACCTAATACGCATCAAGACTCTGAAATCTAGCAGTTGCCACGGTGCTAAAATACAGGAGATGTAGGGACTAAATCGAAAAACACAAAAGATATTCAAGACATTCCGCAATCGATAGCTTAGGCAAAGAATCACACGTCTGAATTCAATGTATCGGCCTACGATTAGCGTCAGATATTGCTCTCATTTGGCAACTGGGACACGCTTGGCAAGCACCATCTTTAGCAAAGTGATAAACAAGGGTATTTTCAGAGAAAATCTGTATCACTGCACAGAGTTCAAAGCATGACAGCACCATCACACAATTCGGCGATTGAGTTAGAAGCAAGAAAGTGGTATCTGATACTTAGATAACATGAAGAATGCCTTCCTGGAGTTCCGGAGTCACACGAATTCACTAACATTGGACAAAAGTGCGTGGACTCTCGGAGCAATAATTGATACTAACCAAGAGCATACATTATCGACTATTAAAATGGAAATAGTTAAACTGGTAAAATGAAAACCCGAAACACGCGGTAAAAACTTGACCCAAAACATTTCACGAAAATAAGATGTGTATCACATGTGCTCGATTGACACAATGTCGAGACAAAAGAAAGAAAGAGGGATTACAAAGAGTAATGAACGATACTTAGAAAACAAAGTGAACAAACACAGCACAGCCAGAATACGGAAAGGAGAGTAAATGTGTATTAATCCACTTTCCACACGGTTTGTTGCTCTCCTGGTCCGGAAGAAGCTTCAATACCAATTCTGAAATCAAGAAGTGAGATGGACGAAGAGATTGAATTTCAACAGGCGAAACGGGAAGGATACTTAAAACCTCTATACACTTATCGATCAGCAATCAGGGATCCTTCAGGACAGGACCAACCAAGTGCATAACGCCGAACACGGTTACTATTATTACCACTTATTTTGAGGTTTAGCTTATTCAGTAGATGATCGTGCATGAAGACGAGAACGGTCGAACAAAAGTACATTAGTTAGCTTGCAATACCAGCATTCG